CCTGGTCCAGTCCCTGGCCTGTTGAGAAGTCTCTAGCCCCTGGGGAAGCAGCTGCCAGGCCATGCACAGAAAACAGCAGCCTGTAGTGGCCTCACCCCCTGACACCCCTGGGTCTCACCGAGCCATGTCCACTGTGCAGGGGTCTCTGCTCAACATGGGCCACATTTCCCGTCTGCCTCTTAATCCTCCAACCCCTCTGGAAAGGAAAACCAAAGCCACCCTGTGACGTCTGGGGAACCCTTCCTGGCCCAGGATGATGGAGAGGTCTGGTGCATGCCAGACCCTGCCAAGAGCAGCCAGCCCTGCCTTGCAGAAGCACCACGCTCGTGCCAGCCTCACCACCTACCAGCACATGGCTGTTCTCCTGCTTGCGAATCACAATGCGCTGCCCGTACACCTCGACCATGACTTCACGCACATAGGACACTCTGGTGTTCCCACGATGCTCGTTCTTGGCCTCCACATTGAAGTAGGGCAGAGAGGTGGTGTTGGAGCACACTTTGGCCAGGGTGTAGGTGCAGTTGCCCATGAAGTTGTGCGTCACCTTGTCAAAGGTCTTGTAGTGAGGGTCACCGTGGATGTTGCAGATGCCGTAGGAATGTTTGAGGCACACAGGTTTCCCATCCTGTACTCCACAGAACCGGCCCGGAGGGCATGAGGTATTGATGCACTGTACTTTGCTTCCCGGTGCTGGACATGTGCACTTTGTGGAGCAGCTGTCATCTGTCCAGAATCCAGATCCCACAGGGTAGTGCCGTCCGTTATACCAGCACCCACATTTTTGGCTAGGCACACATTGGTCATTGTAGAGCAGATACCCACTGTTGCACACACAGCCCTCCACACATGGCAGGCTGCAGTTGTAGGGTGCTAGTGGGTCAACACAGGTGGCAGGGCAGGCTGCGGCACAGGACTCGTAGTGAGTGTTGGTCGGACAGGGTAGTGCTGTGTAATATAAGAGAAAGCTATACAGTAACTGTTTTAAAATACTTAAGTATTGGTGTTTGTTTAATATCATATTCTTATTTATTTTGAAATATTTTTATTCTAGTTCAAGCCTGTTCAATGCACACCTTTGTTGTCTTAATACACTGTAATTTCTCTTCTGGTTTTGGCTGTTTAAAATTTCATTCATAGAAAGAATTTCCTAGCACAACTCTTATTCCCAAATGTGATTCCTTGTGCTCTTGCACTGGACTGATGTTTTAGGTGCCATGTTAGCTATTTGTCCTAGACATATATTATATTTAGATTTTAGTCTTATTTCATTCTTATAATTTTGTAACTTCATAATTAATTTGTTTTACTTCTCCACGTCTCTACTGTTCATTAAAGAATCAGGATGTACAAGTACTCTGTTCTATTTTTAGGTTTTTGTTACTTGCATGACATCTAGCCAGCTAAGGTAATTAGATGTTTTAAGAACTGTCATATTCTGATGAGTATATGCGACAATTGAAGTTTCCTGAACAACCTTTTGTCAGCTTCTCGATCTCTATGTGATGTGGGTCAGTTTTTAATGATGTATTTTCTCACTCTAATTTTAGCCTGCCTAAGGAGACAGAGATCATACAGTTACATTGTACATTTCTCTGCTCATCCTCCCACTTAATTTAATCCTGCTGACCTCTTTGAAACAAGTTGGTGAGGTTTGTAGAGGACAAAAACATATTCAGGTCCATTAAATGAAATAGGCATAAGGCAGGGAGAAGAGATCCTGCAAGCTCCTTCAGCAGAAAGAACAAGTGTAGGGACCGCTCACTCCCACTTAGAAACCACAGAACCTATGTGAGAGAACCTCAGCAATGTCCTCAACTGAGAACATGCTCCAGATAGAGACTGAAGAAAAATGCAAAACAAAATCCAGAAAGACATCAGGCTTCAGTCATTCCAGTGTTTTCAGACACTCCTTAGTCTCCCTGTCTCCTTCAGTGCAGAAGCCACATAGATCACTATTTCCTGTTCCTTGTATTGCTTCTGGTGGGAACAGATCTGTTCAGGACTTCCAGACAGTATTTATGTCCTGTTCTAAAGATAACATAGGTGAGGTTTGTTTTTTTCTATAATATATGCCTGAATGCTTGAGAAATGTTCTTTGTCCAATTTTTACCAATACTTACAGAAGGTCATCATTCCCACTTACTCCAGCACAGACACCTTTTTATTACTTCAATGCCTGACACCTTTGTGCCTGCCTCTTCCACACCCTCACTACCTTCTCCACGTTCAGTAGTGTGGTTACAATCTCCATTGCACAGACTTCTAACTTCAGCCCTGGCCTTTAATTCCAGGCTGCCTACCCGTTTTGCCTTCTCTCCCACCTGAAACCATAAATGACCATGCCTGTACAGGACACTCTGATGCTTTTCTCCACATCCATAGGAAGAATGCCTGACAATCCCTACTCTCTTATACATATGGGAGCCTATGCCACTGGTAGTGTTTCCAATACTCTCCCCCTTTATCCCAGACTTCCTGCTCAGGTTGTCAGACATGTTCCTCCTTCATTTTGTTCTCTTTGCAGAGAGGAATTCAAAGGATAGGTTTTCATTTCTATTTTAAGATGGACTAAAGAGTACTTTTTCATTGCATTCAAAGCAACTGAAATATTTTCACTGGTATCTCCCCTAAGGAATGAAACAGAGGACTGTATATAAGCATGAAATCTTTAGCCTGATCCATCAAGATTCTCAGTGTTACATGAATTCAAAACTGTGTTGTACTATGCTGTCTTCAGGAGGTCCTCATTATACCCTCCTGACCAATGGTAGTTTCCAATAATCTTTGATACATACGGCAGAAGGTTGCATTTCTCCATGGTAGCAGCTGGACTCCTGCAGCTTGGCACACATCTGCATAAGCCTGTAGGTTTTCACAAAGGGCAGCACTGTTCAAATGAAGCTCGCAGAGATCATACTGGCAGCCTTCGGAGTAACTTTGTGGATCAACTACTGAGTGACAGTTCTGGAATGGTCCATTTGGATCTGTGATCAGACCACAGTATGCATTGCTTTGGATCATATGTTTTTCATCATCAGTGCAATTTGGAGTATGGCCATAATCTGGCGAGCAACTAATGTGGAAACAAAAAAAAAAAAAAGATGTTGAAAAATTAACAGATGAATTTTGGATGCACCAGCACCTAAGATGCTTTTCAAATCCTATCTAACAAAACTACGGGGCTGTTCCCAAACTAAGTATGACATATTTTAAATTCCTACATTTCAAACTGACACACCTGGAAGAAATTCAAATATGTATTTTTGGCTTTCTGGTATGTCATGTTGTCTACATAGAAGGGGAAACAGAAAGTGAAAGCATTCAAGGCTAAACCTCTACCATTATTATATAACATATTGTGAAAGTAAAAATAACAAGTAAAATATCACAGAAGAGTTGAAATAATATCATCAAGAATTAGCATGAATATACTACAAAAATAACTGAAATCTTAGTGTACACCTGCAGTGTTTTCTTCAAATACTAAAAAGTACATTAAAATATACATTGAAATGTACAAAAGAAAGTTAGCCAAGTCACTGGTAAGGCCCATGCTTGACAATTCTCATCTGAGAGTTGAAACCTAAATGCAATCGCATTAAAAACATTTTCTGAGCTGCTACCCAGAAGGTCATCAAGAGAACAATTATCCAGTCTGTAAGGTATATCAAAAAATCACTCAAGTCTAAAAATTTGTCATAAAGCACATGCAAACCTTACCATAACTAGCATCCTGAAACTTGCTAGGTCTTTTAGCTGGACCTTCTTGGCTGAGGAAATAGCCCCTGCTTTTATAGGTTGAAATCCACATATGGGTTCAGCTGTGCATGGTGTTTCAGGCCCTACCAGTGCCATTCTCCCTGTTTGGCCTGCATTTGTACTTTGCATATTCTCTCTTTGTGTTTGCTCAAACAGTACTTCACTATGGGATGAAAGAAGCCCCCATGACCTTTTTCTCCTATCAGCATGGCAAGCCAAATGAGAAAGGGAGCATCTCTTATGTGGGAGCACTGTTTGCTTCCAGTTGTGTGCTCTGGGACACATCAAGATGCCTAAAGAGATTCTCTTATGGAGACATTTAAAAATACTTAATTTTTTTGCTGATTGAAGTGGCTGCTATTTGTTAAACCCCACAAAATGTGTAAGTAACCCTAAAACTCAGGCCTAGGACTCCCTGTAGGGGTATGTGATGTGAGGGTATGGATGCTGTGTGACCTTCTGCATGGCGAGGCTACAAGGATGGTACTGGCTGCCTGAGTCCATCTGAAGCCTGAGCTTTCCCTGCTGATTCATTATGATGTGAGGGAACATATAAACCCCACTACCCCACCTGGACTCTATTGGGGTTTTTAGAATATGTGGAGTAAGATTTGAGGTGGGAAGAAGGAAAGGACTGTTACCCTGTACTCAGAACTCCTGAGGCTGCACCTTGAATCCTTTGTTCAGTTTTGGGCCTTTAACTAAAAGAAAGACATGGAGGCACTAGAGTGTGTCCAGAGAAGGGCAATAGAACTGGTGGAGGGTCTGGAGCACAAGTCTTCTGAGGAGTGGCTGAGGGAACTGAGGTTGTTTGGCCTGGGGAGAGGGAGGCTCAGGGGAGATCTAGTTCTCTGGTGCTACATGAAAGGAGGTTGTAGTGAGACAGGGCACAGTCTGTTCTTCCAGGTAACTGGTGATGGAGCAAGATGAAATGGCCTCAAGTTGCACCAGTGGAGGTTTAGATTAGATATTAAGAAAAATTTCTTCACTGAAAGGATTGTCAAGCAATTGTTGAAGAGGCTGCCCAGGGAAGTACTGGCAGTCAACATTCCTGGAGATAGTTAAAAAGATGCCTAGGTGTGGCACCTGGGGACATGGTTTGGTGGTGGATATTCCAAGAACTTTTCCCTTTTTAAGCACAGTTAAATTTTCTGTGAATTTTTACCCAGTACACTGATGGGAATATATTTGTCCCATGTGTCTGACATTTTTGGCCCCCATACAACAGTTGCTTAAAACACTGGTCATTGCATAAACAACAGTTAAGACCTAACATCCTGGTTGGAATCCTACCTGGAATCATTGTAAACCTGCCAACTGTTCCCAAGGCTGGTTGAGTTTGGTTCCATCTCTCCATCTGGGTTAAGAAAGTCATCTTCTTTATGCCCATTATAATTTCCACATATTCCACATACTTTAGACATATAGGTACTGGGAAGAGTGATTTCTACTCTGTGATTTCCATCAAACTTGACATTCAGCCCAAAGTCTGTAGTAACCACAACATACTGCCCACTGTAGAAAATACTGACACCAGGCTCCAAGGTCAGAGGGACCACCTGGCTGACTCCATTAACCTGCAGGCACAGAGAAGGACAAGTATTATAAGTACTTGAAAAGAAGTATTTGTAATGTTGGTCCCTATATTGAACACAAGGCTTGTACAGTGAGCAGTAAGAATTCACAGTGTATATAGTCACATAATCTAAGGCCTTGAGGCCACAATAATGTGGCTACATAGCTTACACGTGCAGGCTTGGTGAACCAGATGCAGTTGGGAAAAGACTTAGCATGATCTGTCAGCAGTAATTGTCAACAGAGATTTATTTTTCTTATGGAGCAAATAAGACCAAAAAATTTTAGTTATAGTGGATCTTCAGAAAATTTTCAGGATTGAACAAATCTTGAAACAACATCTTTTTGTTTCTGTCTCATTTCACATTTGAAAGGCCAAACAATGGAAAGTAAATTTCCAAGTAACATTTTCCATTTATTTAAAATTTACTAAATTGAGTATCTACTTTGGTCATTTGTTCTAATTACAAATTGTAAGAAAGTTTGGTTTGCTTAGAAACATAAATACAATAAAACCAGTAAATACAGAGGAAAGATATAAAAGAGAAGCTGTTAGACAAACATGAATATAGGAGTTCTACGATCAGATGGGAGAGGTTTCAGTGTACATTTAAACCTTTATCTCCTGTCACACAAATCCCTGTACTGTGTTTTATAAGAAGGGTAGTAATGAAGTAAGGTGACCCGTTCATTTACTGGAGGTTGGACTCAAACATGTCTGCTGTTTTGGCCTTTATGGAAACAGCCCATAAAGAAGGCTTAAAATACAAGGTATCACTGTGCCACATGATACAATCGGTGTGAGGAGAGTCATGAGATTGTCATTCCAGGACTCTTATCTGGCTCTACTTTATGGCAAATGCCAGGTGTTACGTCAAGTTAACAGTGAAGTGAAATAACTAGAGGGATAAGCATGCAGCTTTACAGGCTACCACACAGGATCAAGAAATAACTACCAGCATGAACTCAGTTAATGGAGGGCCTTTTTATTCCCTGTTACATGCCAAGCTTGAGTGTGGGGAGCAGGTCAGAAAGGTAGGCTAGCCCATGAACCCTACCTGGAATATCAGCTCTTACCCCACCTTTTAGCAATGCAGCACAAAATTTTAGCCTATGCTTTCAGTGTTTGAGAACTTCACATTACTCCAGCTCCTAAATGTCTGACTTCCCTCTAAATATTACTGTATGGATGCTGGAAATTTGTAGTCATTGTATAACAATTTCTTCATTCACAGTATGAGTTACTGATTGATAGAGAGTGGGCTCCAACCTTACCTTAACAACTCTGTTTTTACCCAGATTGATCCTGTAGCCATACACGTCGACATCCACGTATTGGACATAGGACACACGAGTGTTGCCTTTCTTGTGCTCATTGGCTGCTTCCACATTGAAGTAGGGCAGTGAGCTGTTGTTCTCACACAGCTTGGAGAGGGTATAGGTGCAAGTGCCCATGAAGTCATGACGCTGATTGTCAAATGTGTTATAGTGAGGATCCCCATGTATACTGCAAATTGCTTCTGGAGACAGGAAAAAGTAGTATGTTCTCATTAAAATATGGATTCATCCCGAAAACTCACCTCATTGTGCAGTGGGCAAACACAATCATCCTCATTTTATAGTTTACCTCTGGAAGAATTGATTCAGAAAAGGCACATTTGTATGGAATAAGGCAATGTCATAGAGCGATACTCAAATAGAGTAACTGAAGTAAATAAGTTGTACCAGTAATAAAAAATGTAGGAACCCTTCTACAATGCATTGACTACCATATGTGATTGGCTAAAATTACCTGTCACTGGAGGAGGTGTAGGTTCTGTTGGTGTGGGTGTTGGTGGTACAGGTGTAGGGTCAGATTCTGTTAGTAGAAAAGACGAGGTGATACAATGAGTTATAACATTACACATTCACTTATTCTGAATCAGCATGAAGTCAAAAGTTTTTTCAATTAAGAATGTAGAACTGTGTGTATTTAAAGTTGGGGATGTGTAAGTCTTTTGAGCACTCAGGAAAGCTCATCTGATTGTTAGCTTGATCACAGCGACAGCTCGTGCCTGTATGCCTCTTTGGAGCTGGAAGTGTATTTACAATTGGGTATGCGACTCCCTCTGCTGTACGTTAAGATACATAAAGGTCCTACTGCCTCTAAGTCTTGGCAGGTCTGAAAGCGACTTGAAGAGAGAAGCTCTTGTCTCTTGGAGTTATGTTTGTGCACCATCCGGTGGCTGAACCACATGCTAATATGACTGGAAAATGGAGAACTGACTCTCCCTAGCCCTCAAAAAAGCAGGCCCCAAGCCTTTTTCACAGAATTTTAAATAAAAAGAACTGACTCTCCCTAACCCTCAAAAAAAGCAGCCCCAAAGCCTTTTTCACAGAATTTTAAATAAAATCCTATGTTCTGAGTGTGTGGACCTGAATGGGAATCTTTGGCCCAGACAGTGTAAATTTTAAACATTTTCTGTCACTATATTAGTAGTATTTCACAGAGAACAAGACCTATTAAGACCTAATGACACCTTCTGTAAGTTTTTCAGCAAATTTCTTGTTCAGTTCACATTTTGTAAGTATTATATGCTTGTTAGTAAAGATGGATCCCAATCATCCACAGCTTGTGCCAGTCTTGGCCGATTTGTTACAGGGTCAAAGATCAAACTCAAATTGCTGATCCATACTCAAAGCTGGTTATGTAACTCAGTGTTATTGACTTGCCATTATTTCTCTTTGTCATGTATCACTGTACTGTGTATTTGATGAGTTTCTAATAAATGATAAGTGCTGTAAAATGCTGATTAGAACATTTAATCTGGAATCTAAAATCAATGTGCATAGCCTTCTCTGGGTGCACTTCAGACTTAAAAGTGAAGATAAAGTTTGCTGAACTTTGTGGTAAAAGTCACATTTGGAGGGAAGGAGATGTTTTGGATATTTGAGGTGATGAGGGAAGATTTAGGAGGGAACTACAGCAAAACACATAACATTCAAATGAAGAAAGTTGTAAAGTTTTTGCCATTTCTTTTGTGGTTTGGAGTTACGAAGAGCTGTTGTATGGAGAGTAGAGAAACGGTCAACAGCTTACACAGAGATGAGGAAGCAGCTTACACCCAGATGCAAACACAGACTTACCACAGGGTCCTTCCCTTACTCTTACATTGTCCAGTGCTGTATCCCCATATTCTGTCAGACCTCGGACAGCCTCAAAAATTACCTAGGCAAGACACAAAGAGAATCACTACATTAGAGCTTAGACAAACACAAGACCATTTCTCTTAACATGTTTCAAAATAATCTCTCTGCTTTATCACTAAAGACATCAAGTAAGCTGAGATTATAACAGTTTTCCTAACTTCCCTTGGGCACAATGTGTATATTCTGTAATAAGGTAAGGACTGCAAGAAATATTGTCCTCTGTTTTGCTGACTTCTAAATGATCTATGAGAATTAGTTGTCTGGATTCTACAGAGGAGTCCAATGTAGGCAGCATCCCAAAGTCCAAACCTTCAAACTCAGGGCAGACAAACATTCTTTTCATTAAGACATCTCAATTCCTTGACTTCATGATAAAATTCAGGAGAGAAGGAAGTAAGAAGAGAGAAAACTAAACATATTTTGTCCCCTAACTAACAGCACTAGTAAAACTCAGAAGGTTCCTTGTTTCTTTGCTTGGTTCATTGACAAAAATCATGAGACCATTATATTTACAAAATATAAACCAAGCAAATCTTGATTATATTTTCTAGCTTGCAAGCACAACATTTTGCAGCCTGCAAGGGGAGAACAATTGCTGACACTGTAAAAAGAAATTTATGCTGAAAATATATTACCTTTATCTTTCTCTGTGCTGGAAAATTGTGAGTGATGGCACCATAGTTCCAGAAGGAACTTTGGTTTCCCTGCCGATGCCACACCACAGACTCCTGTTTGCCATCTTGGATAAGCACTCTCAGCTCATTCATCTCTTCTGACCCAAACATATAGTACCAGAAGTCTATGCATATTTTGCCAGAAACTGCAGTAACTGGGCTCTCCAGCCTGTTAGTGTCGGAGGGGAGCAGATTACTTGCTTCTTGGTAGATGAAATAACCTTCTGCAGAAGGAAAAAAAGAATTAAAATACAGTTGATTCTTCATAACTAGTTAGGTGCCATTTAAAACTGAACCCAACTCTGGAAGAAATCAAAGGCATCATCAGCAGTGCAAAGAAGTAAAGCAGAGTGAGTTTGGACTTCACATGTTTAACCCCATGTAGTTATCCAAAACAGAATGTGAGCCTGAGAGCAAAGCAAATGCATTTCATCTCATGTGACAATTAAGGAAATAGGACACTTTCAAGAAACAGCATCACCAGACACAGTGCTACACTGATCCGTGTTCAAGTTACCACTTTCCTCAAAGGAAAATAATGCAATCTGCTATACACATTCTGTTGTGGAATATATTTTTTTCCTAAGGGCTTTGGTTTCAAGATGAGTAAATCCCTGGCACAAGGAAAATTAAAAACTGTCAGCATTTGGTTTTGTCTCAAAATGGAAGAAATAGAAAGCAATGCCAATATTTTCTTTACAATATTTTTGTTTGACATTACAAAAAAAAAGGTTTTTCAAAATTCTGAAATTCACAATGTTTCTTTTAGGATTTGAAATGCTTTAGTCTGATTGGTTCAATATGAGATCAGATTTTGCTTTACCAGGCATGAAGTTTTTTGCTTCACATGGCCTAAGATTAAAATTACATTTCCCTAGTGCAGCTGAACTCAAGTTTTCCCCATCTGACTATGGAAAGGAATAAAAAATAAATGAATGTCCATTTCTATATGGTAAAGTATGGCTGCACACATAGCATCTAACATTAGTCATCTATTTAAGTTGGCAAGAAAATCCAAGTCACATTTAAAGTGATATGATCTGTGCCAATTCAAAAAGCTAAACACTATTATTTGTGTTAATCCCAATTAAAAATATTTCATTTCTTCTTCCAACGGGCAATTTTAATTGTTATTATCAAAATACTAAAAACGCAGAAAATTATTAAGCAAAAATCCCTTCTAATACTATTCTAATCTGCTTACTGACTCTGACAGTATCTGGTCTTTCAGTCTGGGGATAATTACAGACAGCACTATGGCTGCAGATTGATCCCCATAAATGGATCTGCTAGTGCAAGGACAGCAGTTCAAATACAGAGATGGAGCCATGCTAAACACTCATTTGCTTATATCACCATGTTAGACTCCAGTTTTTAAAACACATGCAGATGAGGACAAGTTTTTAAATATATTCTTTAATTTCAGGCTTGATTTTGTAACACTTTGCTACTGTGAACTTTAGCTAGTGCCAGCACAGTGACCGTTATATTTATTGCTATTAATTGATATCAGTGCAATTTCGCCACAATGACCCTCTTGAAAAATGATCTGTTGTACCTCACTACCTTATCTATATGGCCATAAGCATGATACAATCAGGTCCCTTCTACTTGCATGCACTTATAAAGATATCCAGTCTCTGATGGATCACCCAGTTTTATTTACTTCTGACATGATGACAAGTCAAAGATAGGTGTCAGCATGAAACAAACCCAACACATTACAAAGGACTTAATGAATCTCTTTTCCAAGGAAAGAAGAATAAAGGCTATCAATCTGTCTTCAACAAGGAGAATCAACAGTGTCAGAACTGAGCACTTACTTCCATCAGGATAGTCTCCATCAGGACCTGTTCCATCAGTTGGAGTGTCATGCTTGGTTCGTATCCATACTCCCTGATTGACATTGCATGGCTGAGTCCAGTCACAAAATGGCCTCAAATTATTGTTAAAATCACATCTGGTGAGGTAAGCTGAAATACAGCACATTAAAAGTGAGGAAGGGGAACTAGTATGTTCAAAATCTACCTTGAATGTTAAGCAGCACTAACGACATGAAGTTACCTGTTTCAGGATCCCATGTTTTCAAGCCACCAGTTGGTCTTTGCTTGATCCTGCCAACAAAAACAATAGAGTGAAGCCCTTGTGGAATTAATGACTCACAAACTGATTAAGAATGTTGGGACCTCAACTTATGTCTTTGGGTGTTTCACTGAATAACTGAATAGACCAAGGGTTTCATCCATGTCTGACTTTCTCTTCCCATGTGGAACTTACTCCTGAGAGAGTGAATCAGAAGTGGGATATGTTCACTTCATCTAATGTAGAAGGATCCTCTGGTCTGTATCCCACTGAACTGAAAGAAGAACAGCTCTCCTGGGTACAGGGGACTATGGAAGGGATGGACAGATGCAGGTCAGCTCAGACAACACTACAGTGATAGCAAAGACTTGCTATTAACTTGCACTGTTATCACCACTGTAGCAAAGCAAATGCCAGTAACTAGTGTACTGTGTAACCCTGCTATTTGTTGGAAGGTTACAAATTTCCTCTAACCTCGACAAATGTCTCATGGCACAAAGCTTTCATCTCATTCACCTAGTCTAATTTACCCTTAAAATGTTGCAAAACAAAAACAGTTACAAATGCATAGTCTTTGTAAGTTACGAAGTCCTACAGAGATGAGATGACAGAAGACCAAAATCCCACTACAGATCACAGCATAAGTGGCTCTGCTCTTTGGGTGTTTTGCATAGAGAAGAGATTTCCAGAACTGCAAGGCTACAACAGCAGTTCTTGACGTACTCTACTGGTGGTCTACAATTTTAGGAGGCAGAGTTCAGTTCCAATCTCTGTGGTGCCCCATCCTTAATTACCCTTATTGTACTTGACACAGTATAGATAATCTGACCCTAAGTGAGTACATCACAATTAGAGTCTGCACTGCTCAAAATCCAAGCAATGACATTCAGAAAACTAGGGAGATTAGTAGCAAATATCAGAATCAATTCATTATGAAATGATGCAATGAAATGTAGCAAGCAATTGAAAAAGAGGCTGAGCTAAGGCTAATGAGGAAAACAAATATGATTCAGACAGAGTAAGAAAATTTTTTTCATAGTTCTTCTTGGATTTCTTCTTCCATGAGAAAGGGAAAGCTGTGACAAGTTGTCACTTGGTCTCTATTCAGTGCTATCTTTAAAATGTTACATATCAGGCAAGTCCTAAGGCAAAGATTACTGTAGATATACTCAGAGTCAAAAGAGACTTATAACTACTGCAGTTATTTTGTCCAGATGTCTCCTCTTCAGATGTGCCATCCATGTATTACAGGTTTCTCTCGCAGGCAGGAGACAGTTCAGAATTATGTTACCACAATACTCAATTATTTCTTTTTTAAAATGACATGGTTCAATTGTAAAACATTCTAAATTTAAAAAGTGAAGAAATTCTACATGTTAAAAGTGAAGAAAGGATATTTATCATTAACAGCTAAGCTTCCTCAATTAAGATACATTCAGTACTGTGCTACTTACCCTGTGGTATTCAGCACTGAAATACAGACTAAAAACAAAGTATATTGCAAGTGCCAGAGGGTCCCCATGCTAGAAGACAGAGGTTAGTCTTCTGTGTCGTACAGCTTGCATAGTAATCCACCAGCTGTACTCAGCTACGTGGAAATTGGGATGACCTCCAGTGAAACAGATGAATATATTGGCAAAAGGGTGGGGGCGATTATAAAATCACCTGTCCAACCATGTATCATGTTCCCTGTGTTATCTACCTTGAGAAATGCACTTATGAACTGAATGCTCATATTATGTGTCACTTGTTCTGACACCCTTAGCTGTTTGCTAGATAAATTTGTGTCTGTGGCAATTTTTGTTGCTGCTGCTGTGTATTAAAGAAGTCTGACATTTTGGAGGGTTTTTTCTTGCTTACAATAACTTGCTTAATTTTAGAACCCCTGCCCAGCTTTCAATGCTAGTATAAGTGAGATTTCTCACATTGACTGAATTTTCTCCCTTTTTGAAACTAGCATTCAGTAGAATGCTGAAAACAACAATATTTCAGTTTGCTCACAACAGTCAAGTCGTCATGGGCACAATTCAGGAGCTTGCTGAAATATTATTGCTACCATATTGCACCTTCTTTAAAATAAAAGATCATTTTCTGATCTTCCATGAAGTCTTTGTTGCTGGCAGCCCACAAAAATCAGATGGATCATTCCCACTGCCACTCAGGCCTTTACTGTTCTGTTCTTTTGCAGCATTCCTTCCATTGGGGTCTGTAAAAAATGACTCAAAGGCAGACAAATTCCCTGCTTCATCTGGTTTGCATGAGTGATGAGAATCAAAGGAGTATCAGAAAGTGTGCAGTGTTTCCTTGTAATGCCTGGAACCCCCAGACGGTGGCTTTTTTTGTTTGTTTGTTTCAAAGGAGGATGTCTCTGGGAGTGGAGCTTTTCTGAAAAAGTGGTCTCTTAGCTACAACCACTTACCCTTTGTGATCATATTCTGATGATTAAGATCATTAAGACTTCATAATTTAAGTCTGGAATTCCCTCAACTCCCTTATACCCCACTCATTAACAAGTAACTAAGGAGGCTACTTACAGAAACAAGAGAAATAGGAATGGATCAGGGGAGGCTAAGCAGAAACACAATAAAATTCCAAGTTAGATGTTAACTCTGTATTGACAATGGGCCTAGAGTTGCATTCTGCCACAGTCTCATTCCCCACACAAGCTCCTCCAAAACCAGAGGGTAAAAACTCATTCGCCACACAAGCTCCTCCAAAACCAGAGGGTAAATGCTCACTTGACTGGTATTAATCCCTCTCCAATGAAAATCCTTTCCTCCAGCCATGCTGTGTGACCTTTTCTGAGACTTCTGTCCCTCCTGTTTAATGCCATCTCAGGTACTCTGTGATAGGTGAACTGGAGTGAGTGGTGACTGAGACTTTTCAGTGAGACACAAATACTAATAACCTCTTTTCTTTGTGGGAAAGTTGACAAGAAAATTACTTGCCATATGATTCCAGTTGGATGTGACAGTATCCAACATTCCTGACAGTCAAACCAATCACCTTGCAGGCTTACTATTTCTCTCCTTCACCTGCATGCTTTATATCTCAAAAAGGCACCTGGGAGACACTGCCATGTGTATAAAAACACTGGGCTGGACTGCAGAGCAGCCTGAAGAAGAAAAGGAACACACCAGTTCTTAATCTCTAATACAATGAAGCGAAGATTCTTTCTAAGGAAGGGCATTTGCAGATGATCTTACAAATTACTTATGTTTTACTTCTGCCTTATATCAAGGTTGCAAGTGATGCACACCTAGTACCTCATCCCTATGATTGGCTTCTTAGTGCTCTGTACTGCTGTGTTTCTTTTTGATAGCAGATTTCACCCCATCTGCAACCAGCATTAGAAATCTCACCTGCTGCCTGTTGACAAGGCACACTGAGCTGCTCATGGGAACTAATTGCCTTTAGGTGATACAAACAGATTTCCCACATAAAATCTGCAGAAGAAGATGCCAATAGTAGGGCTTGCCAATGATCAATGTGTCATACAACACCCTCAAAAGGACAGATAATACTGCATACAACTTCATTTCTGGCTGGTGGTCAGAAAGGGACTCTTGAAGAGATCCTTAATTTTTGCAGAATGAAGTTATGTTTCCCAGAAGACAAAATCAGCCTGATACTCACACAAAGGGACAGCACAATGAAGATAATACCCAAAAATTTGCCCCAAGCAAGACAAATCAAACAACAAAACAAGCAAACTCAGTAGTTCGTTCTAGTGAGTGCTGTCTGGTACAGATTTTGCTGCACAGTTATTCCAACACATGTAATAGTCCTCAAGTATCTAAATCTGGTTGCTCCATTTTTTGGAATCCAAATGTTCTCTGATGAATAGCAATTGCAGTTCACCATGTGGCTAATGCTCAGTCTGTGATGTTGTAATCACTTGAAAGTTAGGGAGCTTGGAACGCTTAAAGAATAAGGAAAATTATGCAAAACCTCTTTCTCCTAAGCCATCAATTTGGGGCTAGTTGTGCCCCATGGTGTCTCCTTGGGACCCTGCTACTCTGCCTCCTAGCACAAAGCAGAGAAGTTCCTGGCTGATATGAAATGCTGGTGTCTTGTTGGGATGCACTTGCAGCACATGTATGTCCAGGGCCTATTCTGTCTGAGGCTTCTATCTAGAAGGAATTTTAATTGAATTAACTAGATGTCTGTTCTTAAATGGCATAATTCTGTGCAGATTCTTTTAGTTTAGAATACATTAGGTTCCCTAAATTTGTACATAAAACTAAACACATCTTTATCTGATTTTCAGACAGCATGGCTGTATATCACTGAGCTTTGCATAGATTTAACTGCACTGGGTTTTTTTGCATCAATTTCAGTTAAATTTATACAATTTGCATGAGTAAAAGGATCCCTCTGTTGTTTCTGTGCAGGTAATAATCTCTTTCTCTGTCCTAATGAATGACTTGAGTCAGTTTTTACGGCATGTAATACCTCTGTCACTGTTTTTGGAACTCCCAGTGACCTCTGGCTCACTCTGCTTTGCTGACGTTGTGGGTGAGAAGGCACTGGCAGATCTCCTGTTCCTTCAAGAATGTGCCTATGCTGGACTTTTGTTGGAGCTACCCTCCAGTTGCTGCTCTGGAAAACTTTCACCAAGGAGTTATGAAACAAGCCATCAGCACCCATTGCAGAAGGGTCACCAGTACCACTTTTGCTGTGTTGAATAACATGCTTTGATAGGCTGAAGAGGAAGTACACAAAAAAATGTTTGTTAAAAATGGATGTTTCTTTGATGAGTAAAGGGTACTTGTGTTCTGTCAAGCACAAGTTGAGGGTGTTTTTTTAACTGCTGGCTCTCCAAACTGAAGCTTTAATTTGAAATTCAAGCTATCTCTTTCCTGGTCTGAGAGCTGTAATGATTTTGAAAATGGAATGTAGCATTCTTATTAGAGTGCAGGTGCCAGATTAAAATTTTATCCTCTTTCTCATGTTTTGAACAGTGCAGAGCTAACAGAAATAAAAAGACAGCAGCTTTTTGGTCAGTATTCTCAGCTGTCAACTGCCTATGGACAAATCTCCTGAGTGCAAATAGTACTCATATTGTGACCTAAAAGAAATGTTTTTCAAGGTAATGTTGATGGGTTAATTAGGCACATACAAATGTACTATATGGATAATGCATTACTAAATTTGTTACTATTAAGGCCTTTCTTATCTCAATGTCTTTAATTTCTTGCATACCAAGGGAAAGACCATAACATTCCTCCCAATTAATGCAGTAAATAGGTTTTGCTGCCATTCCAGTGGATATTTTAATAGAGAAAAGACCATCATAGGTAAAGCTACTTTCTTCTTAGTTTTTTGGTCCTACATTTGCAAACATGAAATTAGTAAATCAGTTCATAAAAGCCCAGAAATTTTTCCAAGTCTGCCTATTAATAATAGATAACATATAAAAGTCAATTCTGAATGCGTATTTTGGGAGCAGATCTCTGGCAGGAGGAAAAAGATGCTGCTTATCTCTTTTACTGCCTTCTTTATGGAGGGTTCTGTTGGGGTGTTTTTTTGATTCAATGGTAATCTAATCAACTGCTTCTGGTTCACCAGAGTTCAGTAATTTCATAATTGCACCTTGATATATTTTATATTTATTATTGAATGTGGTGTACAAAGACCATTCCCTAAGAGCAGTTTCTTTCAGAGGCAGAGTGGTGCTTTACATGGATTTAGAAAAACAAGCTTCTTACAGAGATAAAGGTCTGATTCCACCATTGTACTGGTTCAATTTCAGTATTCTACTGTAAAAGTTGGTGGTGCTGGTCCTACTTCATTCCAGTCTAGACAAAAGTGACTCCTGGTTCATTTGCTAAATATAACTTGTATTACAGTGACAGCTGTGTCTAAAATTAGCAGTCTCAGGCTTGGCTTAATGGATGCTGAAGTTTGTTTGAATTTTCAGCTCACCATTTCATGCTCCTTTGGTGCTGGTGAAGTCTGCATTGCCCCTCCTGTCCTCAGCACTCTGACTTGAGCAAGTCTTTCACTTACTTGAACACAATTATAAACAGCTTTCTATGCCTGGTTGATTTTTTTTTTTTTCTGCAGATCCCAAATGAATTGGTGCAGTTCTTTGCCTTCCAACTCAATTCCTCGTGAACTGAGTAATCCTGCAAACCTCTTAACTCTTCCTGGTCATTTCAGAAAGGGTGATTTCTTCAATCCATTACCTCCTGGATAAATCTGCTTACTCTCAGGGTATAGTCCTATGGTATTGTCACTTCTTACAGCCCCTTCTAAGAGATCCCCCTGAATAACAAATGGCTTCTGCAATTAAGCTATTAAACCTCGTTACTACAGTTGTTTCACAAAAATAATTCCAGTACAATTTCATTTTTATGCAAATATATAGAGATGTACAGTTAGAAATTAATTTACAGTTAAGAAACTTGTCAACATCTATTCAAATGGCTTTTTCTGATCTAAATCCTGCACTTCCTATGACTACTGGAGCTATATTAAATTAATTTAAAATTAAGAAACTTGTCAACATCTATTCAAATGGCCTTTTCTGATCTAAATCCTGCACTTCCTAT